GAAAAGAATTCTCACAACAGATGGAAAATTTATTTGATGTTATTGTGTCTCATAATTGTTTAAAAAAGAAAATGATAATGTAAAAGATGTTAATAAAAGGATATGGGACTGGAGATATTTTCCAAAATAGACATAAAAAATGAGAATTTGGGCATGGTGGCACACGCTTTTAATCCCAGCACTCAGGAGGCAGAGTTCTAGGCCAGCCTGGTCTACATAGTGAGTTCCAAGACAGCTGGGGCTACAGGGAGACCCTGTCTCAAAAAGACCAAAAAAAAAAAAAAAAAAACAAAAAAACGAGAAAGCCTAAGCAAGTGATGAGGGCCTGTGTAGGTTTGCTATGATATATAAAGGATGAGACAAAAATAATATACACATAATCTTAAAATTTCTAAGGTCATAGTTTAGTCAACTAGTTTAAGGACCAAATATATGTCTAATTAAAGTTTATCTGAGAATGTTTGGTTTTTGCCCAAGCTTTATCTACACAGCACATGGTAATTAAAAGTACCAGACTGGTGGAACTAACCTTATTGGATGTTTAACAGTCATACTTTGAGGCCCATACTAATCTGGTCAGAGGGACTTAAAGAACAGGTTTTGCTCCTTGCCTTCCAAGGTCAACAAAGTTCCAGGGGACTATGGAGCATCTCTTAAAATGTCCTGTAACTTGGTGAGTCACCTGTTCTCCTGTTCATGGAGTCTGTGGAGACTCTACCAGATGGACTTGAACCAGTATCCAGTCTACAAAGAGGAGGGTCAACTCAGAGGAAACATTCCCTCCATGCTTCCAAGGGAAGCCAGCCATGGTCAGTCGAGCAGGACCTTTGACTTATCTTCACATAGATGGAACTTGTAAAAGAAAGAAGCCAGGGGCTCTTCCCAAGTCCATGTGACCCCTGAGGAACAGATCCTCAAACAACCTTAAGAGTAAAAATAAATTGGTTTATTTAGGCCAGCTGTATGGTCTTAAACACCCAAAAGGAAAGTATAACCAAAGATTTAAGTGATCAGTATATTTCTTTAAGAGTTCCAGGGATTATATTTCCCAGAAATTAGGCTTAAGTCTGTATAAAATGTTATTTAGACAATTATGTTTCATTGATGATTTTGTTCCTAATCAGAAAGTGCTGCTCAGATGTAAGACTTCAAATACTGGTCTGCAATACTGTAGTGGCCACCTATATCTAAGGGAGATATTAGAACAAAACCAGCTATTGTTCTAAATTTGTTTTCTCCACCTATCTGGAAGCCTTTGAGAGGGAACTGACACTGATTCTAGCCACTCCAACAGCTATCAAAGTGCCTGAAAACAAATCCTGAGTCCATCACTCTTGAGTCCAGCCTTGGCGGTCAAAAGAAAAATGAGGAGGAACCCAATAGAGGGATGCTTTTGGAAGCTCTCGTCAAGAAATCCCAATGGACTCTGATATGAACACTTGAAATTTGCCCTGTTCTGACTTTTCTCTGGTTCCCTGTCTAGAACTTGTAATACTAACTACTCCTGCCTTTACTTCTCCACCACATCCCCTATTCACCAGTCAAGGACTTTCTTTTCTCCCTATAGATAAGAGTTATGCAGTTTGGGAGTCTTTTAGATAGACCCACTGAAGGGGTGCCCCAATCGCCTCACCCTGCGTCCCCGTTAAGCATGGGAGAAGCCAGAGCGGTCTGCATCCTGATTCCCTATCAGCAACTTCTTCAGAGGATGGTGTGATAAGAATAGGGTGTAGGAATTGGCTAGGCAGTTAGGGTAAAAAAAAAAGACCCCAAAGTAGCCAGTTTCTTGGTCAAAAGTCAAAATGTTTTTGGGCCTCTTAGCAACATACTATGTTGCAAAGGACAAAAGTGTCAAAAGTATTTGTGAGCTTTTATCCCTGAAAGGATTTTAGGGTTACCTCTTTAGAGGGGGCCATGTTAGAGGAGCAAAAAACCCCATTTAGAAAGAGGAGAGAGAGAGAGAGAGAGAGAGAGAGAGAGAGAGAGAGGGAAGGAAGGAAAGGAGAGAGAAGAAAGAAAGAAAGAAAGAAAGAAAGAAAGAAAGAAAGAAAGAAAGGAAAGAAAGAAAGAAAGAAAGAAAGAAGGAAAGAAAAAGAAAGAAAGAAAAAGAAAAAACACGAAGTTGTCAGAAAAAAAGATGGGGAGATATGGGAGGTGTTGGAGGGAGTGGACGTGGATTTCATCAGAACACCTTATATGCGTGTATGAAATTCACAATAAGGTTTTTTCAAAAATTAAAAAACATGGAGGGGGGAATAAAGGGAGTTGTGGATAGGGGAGGGGATTTAAATACCATCAAATTACACTGTATGGAAATTGTAAGAATTCAATTTTTAAAAAGTTTTCTTTTTTGATCCTTTTGAGACAGGGTCTCCTGTAGCCCCAGCTGGTCTGGAAATCCCTATATAGACCAGGCTGACCTCAGATTCACAGGGATCTACTTCCCTCTGCCTCTCGAGCACTGGGATTAAATGCATGCACTGCCATGCTCAGCTTTAATTTTTTAAAAAAGTTTAAGGAAAAGAAAATGTTAACTACCTTGACTTGATTGTGACAAATTTCATTATGTATGGAATTATGACATGTTGTTACATAAATTTGTACAAATAAAATGATTATTTAAAAAAAACGAATGAATATTCCCCAAATAGAAAAACTCGACTAAGAAAGAGCACAGGGAATGATATATATGGGATGATACAAGAGGTATTTGATCAAAAATTTGGATCAGGTTAAAGAGCTAAGAAGCAGTGTTGAGGCAGCTGGTACTCTTATGTGTGTACAGAATATGGCTGATTACAAGGATCTTAGGGAAAATATTCTTTGTTTTTTTTGTGGTTTTGTTTTCTGTTTTTGTTTTTGTTTGAGACAGAGTCTCCTGGTAGCCCCAGCTGGCCTAGAACTCACTGTGTAGACCAAGCTGTCCTTGATCTCACAAGAGATCCACTTGCCTCTGCCTCCTGAGTACTGGGACTACTCAGGAGGTGTGTGCCACCATGCTTGGTTTGGGAACATATTCTTGATTAGATAACATCTCTTCCCCAAAGGAATTTGTTGCCTCATTATGCAACTCTGAACTCCCCAAGCAGTGGGATAGTGGTATCTTCCCTCTGCCCCTCTCTTCCCTCTCCATCTCCCCTTCTCTCCCTTTTACCCAGTTTCTCTTCCTCTTTTACTCTCTTCCCAATAGGAAAATCTCTTGTGTTTTCATTGGGGAAAGACCAGAGCAACTGTGTTTCCTTTTTAACCAAGAGAGTATGTGTATAAATACAAGGTATTATGTAGATAGTGCTGGAAAAACTGTCTGAAATGAAGATTTTATTGTAGGCTCAAAGTGAATCCATTATTTCATATGACCAGGGATTAAAGAAACTAATGTATTAATCTATAAAATGCCTCTCATATTCATCTGTAAGTGTTATTATCAAGTTTAAAGTAAATCATTTTCAGGCATGTCTCAAATCTATCTTTAAAGGCATTTAAAAATAAATAAGGGCATAAAGATAAGCTCACATTTTGAGAGCTAGACTCGTGTTTATTCAATCACAGGGGAATTGCATTTAGTTATACCAATTCACTTTCTTTAACAAAATATGGTTTTAGAAGAGCCCAAGTTACCTGGGTCAGCTTGAACTGGCTGTTACAGTAGAATTTATAAGAATGTGCAGGAAATGAGATGAAAGCTTCTGGAAGAATCTGTGTGGAGGAAACTACCCTTATCTGTGCACAAACAGTCTAGCCATGAAAATAGATTGAATTACTGTACTGAGAGTTAAGCCTACCAAGAAGAAACTGGAAGGAACTTAGGGACCTACCATGAGCAGCTTTTGATAGTCCGGGCCTCACAAGGAGGTGGAATGAATTCTCTTGTATACTGACGAGCTCTTCCATCCATGGAGCTAGTCAGATGAGCAGTTTTTAAGAATTCTAAGTATTAGGTGGGCAATGGTTTGGCTGTTATTCCTAAAGTAGAGTGCCTGGAGAGCTCTCACACGGTAGATCCTTACAAGCTTGCATTTTGCCTCTCAGTCTCTTGCAGTAATCAACATTTCTCTTTATTAAAATACTACCGTTGGGGCTGGGGAGGTGGCTCCACAGTTAAGAGCACTGGCTGTTCTTGCAGAGGACCTGGGTTCAATTCCTAGCACCCACATGGCAGCTAGCAATGGTCTGTAACTCCAGTTCCAGGGGATCTGATACCTTCTTCTGACCTCCATGGGCATTGCATGACACAGGTACACTTACACACATGCAGGCAATACACTTATACACAATAGAATAAGAATAATAAAGAAAATATTTAAAAAATAAAATGCTATAATTAATATTTGAGAAAAAACAAACACAATATTCCCATTGTACTATTTCTAATGAATTAATAGATCTCTCTCTCTCTCTCTCTCTCTCTCTCTCTCTCTCTCTCTCTGTGTGTGTGTGTGTGTGTGTGTGTGTGTGTGTGTGTGTAGAAGTGACATTCTCTGGGGACTGAGGATGTGGTTCACTTGTCAAGTGGTTGCTCAGCATGAACAAAGCCCTGAGTTTGATCCCCAGCACCACATAAAATCGGACATGGTACCACATGCCTGTAGTTCTGGAACTTGGAGAGTGAGGCAAGAGAACAAGAAGCTCAGTATCATCCTGTACTAGCAAGTTCAAGGCTAACCTGAGTGACATGAGACTCGCTCTTTCTCTCTCTCTCTCTCTCACACACACACACACACATACACACACACACACACAAACAGTAACAGTAACATTCTCTAAATGCATTTGGCCCATCCTTAATCTTTCTCAGTTGCTCTCTGGAACATGCTTCTCCACTATACATGTGCAAATATCATTGTATTGACATACATGAGAACAGAGGGATGGGGATGCTAGAGAGAATATTCTTAGTTATGAAGTTGGTTTATTAATTGGCATGCAGTGATTAACATGATGCTTTATAGGAATATTCCCATTGTGTTATTTTGTGCTTATTATTTTTAAAATGGTTTTAGGCTGGCAGAAATCGCACACTCCCTTCTGAAGCTGGCACCATACGACACCCAGACAATGGAAAGCCGAGGGCTTCGGCGCTACATCATGGAGATGCTGCCCATTACCGACTGGTCAGCAGAGGCAGTGAGGCCAGCCCTTATCCTCATTCTCAAGAGACTGGATAGAATGTTCAACAAAATTCATAAGATGCCTACCTTGAGGTGAGGAGGCCTCCTAGTCAGATATTACAGATCTCAAAGTTAGAATGTTTCATTTTTAAGAGAGCAGGTCAATCTGTAGTTGAATGAGTGATTTAAAAGTTTTCTGGTGGTATATGTGCATAGATAACTGGGAATATAAATACCCCAGTAACAGGATCTGTTTGGGGGAAATATCATTTTTTTAGAAATCTATGTATTCATCTTTTAAATTTTATTTTTTGTGTATGAGTGTTTTGCCTGCATATATGTAAGTGTACCCATGCATGCAATGCCTGTGAAGGCCAGAAGAGGGCATCAGATTCCATGGAATTGGAGTTACAGATGCTTGTGAACTGCCATGTGGGTGCTGGGAACTGATCCAGGGTCTTCTGCAAGAGCAGCCAGTGCTCTTAATGGCTGAGCTATCCCTCCAGTCCCATACAGGCTCATATTAAGAAAGCATCTATGTATTTCTTAGTTGTCCTGTTCCTCATCTAATACAACTAAGAAATTCAATTAGAACTCTTTAATCCCAATCCCTTTTGGAAGTAATACAGAATATATCTTATAAATAACCAAGTACAGAGAGAAGAAACATTAATTTGATATTCAAAGCGCTGCATTTAATATAGTAAGTTATCATATTTATGCACCAATTTAGAAAAATGCCATGTTTATAATCCAAAACCAGACTGGAGCTAAAAAGTTCACACAATTTATAGCAAACCATAATTTTCATCTGATTCAGTGCAATTCTAAATGAACACAGTTACAACATGATCTCTTCTTAGTAGTCTGAGAAATATCCATTGGTCTCTTTCTAAAAAGAGACCTCTAAACCAGCCTACTGGAGATGTGTGCCCAGTCTGAAACCCACAGCTGTAGTGAGCAAATAGTTCAGTTCATAATTACCAGTAAGTTCACTGACGGTGATTTCAAATTTGGGTTACTAAGAGAGTGTTTTCTGTCCTTTAAAAGTAAATTCAAAATCAATGCAACACTGACCCCAGGCTACAGGACTTAGGATTCAGCTTGCCAGAAATTTTGCAGACATTAGCCTGTACTCTGCACATTTATGCCACTCCTGGGAGCCACAGAGAAACAGAATTGAACAGTATCAGGGCACTATTGGCTTGTTCCTATATTCTTTCGTACCACAGTGATGTGTCAAGACATTATGGCAAGCTGATTTATTTCTGTGGCATGGAAATACCTGCTCTTAGAGCATTTTTTATTGTCATTTCAATTTTATTCCTTCATTTATAATTGATAATTTAAAACTTTTTGTGATATATATAATTGATATAGTATTTAATTTTTTAAAAAAGGCTTGCTGCTTCTTATCAATTTCTTAAAGATTTTATGAGTTTTTTTTACATTGCATATACTAGATCTTAATCAAATTTAGACCCTCCTTCCTCCATCCACAACCCCCATAGCCCCTCCCCACCAGACTTAATGCATCCTGTCATATATGTTAAGGCCTATCATATATGTTAAGGCCTATCTGGTCAAGCATTTGTACCCTTGGTGCATCTAAAGTCACATGATTCAACTCTTAAAAATAAAGAAATTCTACCATTTGCAACAACACCATGGAACAACTTGGAGGACTTTTAGTGATCCTAAGGGAGCATTTGCATCTACTAGAAAGTGGCAATCAAGATTCATGACTATCTCATGAATGTGTGTCAAAATAAATTATTTTCTTTAGTAATTAGGTATCTAAAGATGTCAAACCTCCACATAAAATGGCTCGTTTGTCATATAATTAAACCAGATAGAAATAACATTATGCTTCCCAAAAGTAAATTTCTGAATTAATGCATAGATTTGGTAAATCGTAGGACATTTTGGGGGGGACTCACGATTTAATACACTGTTGGTTTGTATTTAGCCTCTTTATGTGACTTCAGTTCCTCACAAGAAATATTGCCTGAAGCTGACCTGTGGATTACTTGGGCAGTTAGGGCCTCAAGGATGTCAGTATATCCTCATTTATAACTACATTTCCATTCTGTCATTGTACAGACTGCAATTTGGTAGGAAGTGGAAGCTTAGAAACTATTTCCAAGAAAGGAAGATAGTACTGGCATCAGCAGAGCCCAACCTGCTTATTTTGGAGTGATAGGAATGGATGAATCTTTGGGGACTGGGACAGTCACAGACTGGATTGATTTTTAAGACAGAAAGACCCATGTGGATCTAATTGAATTGTGTGCACCACCATCTACAGATCCATAGAAAGTAATCCAAAATATTATTTCTTGGGAGGCCAAGAAAAGTACTTTTTAGATGGATGATTTTCTTCAAATTTCAACTTTTTGACAGGATGTAAGCTCTATATATCTCAATAGCAGTCTGCTGTGAGAATTGACAGGATCAAGCATAGTCTGACAGTATATTGTAGAACTGCAGCCGGGGACAGACTCGTTCTGGAAAGTCATTACTCATGTGATGGTCTCCTGAAATGATATCATCATAAGATCTTCTCTTAAAGCTAACCTTGGAGACCTTAAAATGTTACCCATTCATCATCTCTGTTTTTTCTTCAATAGATTTTGTCTCATTAGTCGGTAAGGCAGGAGTGCCTCTGCTGCGTTTTCAGTACCTCCCTTCCCTGTGCTCTGTACTTTTGGAACAAAATGGGTAAACGTCTTGCCGTGTGAAGCACTTTGTTGTCTCAGACACATATCCTGTCTTAGATGGCGTCAGAATTGCTGTCTCATTCAATTGTCTCAGACTGTCTCCAGAAGGGAGCCAGGCCGCTAATGGCCCCTATATTGTATTCCAGGCGACAGGTTGAGTGGGAGCCTGCCAGCAGTTTGATTGAAGGGGTTTGTTTGACACTTCAGAGGCAGCCAATCATATCCTTCCTGCCTCACCTTAGGTCACTGATCAATGTCTGTGTCAATCTGGTGAGTAGCCAAGTGGCAATCTTATGAAACTTTGCACAATTTAACTCTGCTATTGATTTCTCTGAATTGAAGATTTACAGGTCAACCACTTTGTGCCCCTACCTACCCATGAAAACAGATGGCTCAGGTGACACTGAAAATAGTGAGGTCCATTTCAAGGTGGTGCGTGGGGAGATACAGGGGCCCATCCCTACCCAGGTGGGATGTTGGTGTGCAACTTCCCATGCATTACTTTGACAATCACCTCAAAGCTGCGCTGAGAGTTGAGGGCTGCCAGTTGGAGAGTGGAGCAGTGGGATTCTGCACAATTGGCTAGACGTTGAGGTAGTTTGGGGAGGGGAACCTTAAAATGCAAAAAGGGATCTTCTTTTATTGTTCAGTGCCAAATGACACTAAGAGTTGGCCAGTCAAGGATTTAGATAAAGAAAAAATTATTTTCATCATTTACGTAATATCTAGAGTCTGGTCCCAACAAGGTTTTGTACAATGTATGGAAACCATGTTAGAGCATCTCATTGAGTAGGGTCTGCTGCTTACCTAGCTGGGCAATGAGTCTGTAGTTGGAATGCCTAGTGCACATAGAGCTGTGGCCATCATCATTGTTGTTAGTATTTGCTCCATCAAAGAATGTTGACCGCACTCCTTTGAATCCACAAGTAAGTGTCCAAGCTCCCTACCAGAATAGCTTTTTAGTTCATCTGTCATTACTTACATAGTTAGTTACACACAACATTCTACAAAACCTTGGCTGAATCCAGTCTAATGTTCGATCTGACTCCAGACATTACACGCCTTCAGAAGAAGGCAGTGAGAAAGAAAAGATGGAAGTAACATGCCCAACCTTCTATTTGTTACTATTGCTATTAGTGAATGAGACTCCTTTTCTATAGCTGCATGAAATTGCAATGGTCAAGGCTGGTCATGTGCTCTGTTTGTATTTCAGGTGATGGGAGTGGTAGGACCTTCCAGTGTTGCTGATGGATTACCCCTTCTTCATCTCAGCCCTTATCTCTCACCACCTCTGCCCTTCAGCACAGCTGTTGTCCGGCTTGTAGCATTGCAGATACAGGTGTGACTGCCTTACCTGTTTGTCACGCTCATTGAGTTGCTGGCAGAGGCACCACTCTGTGGTGTTCTCTTTCTCTTTCTGCAAAGGCTGGGCAAAACCTGTGAGATAACAGTGTGAATACCTCCAAACTTTGATAGGTTTGGAGCTTCAGCCCTGAGCATGGCCCCAGGTTGCGCTCCTGTAATTCTTCCTGAGATCTCAAAAATAGCAGAGTCATGTAGTCCTGCCGCAACCACAGGGACCCCTGTGGCCATTTCAGATGTGTGCAAACTAATGGCTATGGGTAATCAGCTCACAATTGTTAATTAAAAGAGGCATCGATATTCGAAGTCTGGTCGAAAGTTATTTTGAGAAAGAATTACAGCATAAAATTCTTTCAAATGTTACCAGACTTTGAATATCTTTATTTTCTTTAATGATTGTGGGTTGAATATTGTGGATGTTTTTATTTTAAAAAATAAATATCCCACTTTATTTAAGAAGTAAAGAATCCTAATCCCTTGCCTATTTTCCTGTGTCACCCAATTTTAAAGTTCTGTGATCAATGGAAAGAATATAATGGCTGTAAGGGGGTAACTGACCTGCCCAGTATCTGGCCATCAGGCTTGTTATTCACCAGGCAGGAAAGGTGATTAAGAACAGTAGCTACTGTGCAGAAGGGAAACCACATCTCTAAAGTGGAACATTTTAATAACCTGTTTCCAAAGACCACTTATTTCTTTCTCTTATTGCTTCCTGGCTTGAAGAAGGTCAAAGCAGGGGTCAGAGGACTTTTAAATAACTCCCAAATGGAGAAAGTGGCAAGTTTTCATTTTCTTCTTTTTTCTTTGTCTCTAAAGTATTTATGGGTAGACACATGAAGAAAATTAGTGGGGGAAATGAGGTGGGCTTTGTACCTGACTATATCTTTGTCATTTAACACTTAAGATGTTACTACTGTCTCTCTCAGAACATAGCTCTGTTATATCAGGCAAATGGTAAAGTGATGAGTTTGGTTGAATCACATATGCTACACAGATGACAGTTGAACTCATAGTTTACAGGTGAAGCCAGTGGGAAGGGCACCTTCACCAACATGCTGTGTAGAAGCTAACACATCCTACAGGCATGCTGGTCAATTAACCTTCTTTTCTATTATTGCTGCACAGGCTTTAAAAGAAGATTTCCCTTTAAGCCATGTGATCTCCCCATTCACCAATCAAGAGCGAAGGGAGGGGATGCTTTTAAATCTGCTCATCCCATTTGTGCTCACAGTAGGATCTGGAAGCAAAGGTCTGATTAACTAAAGGAATTGTATTGTTGTTGTGTTTTCTTAACTATCAGGGTGCTATTGCCTTTCTTTCCTCTTCCCAAGAGAGCCATCAATGGAAGTCAATCTGAATGGTTTAAGTAGGGTTGCCTTAGGAAATAGTTGTTTTTCTTTCTTTTCAGTTTAGCTGCCCTGGGACAAGAGTCACTGCTCTCCTTCTTAGAGGAAATGCCCCATTTAAAAGGGTTGCAATGCAGCAGAGAGTAGGAATACATTGTTTCAATTAAATTAAGAAAAGGGTAATTAGTTCGAGTACACAGAATAGACAGGTGACTGTACTTTACAATTCTGTGGCTGTTTAGCTGCTGTGCCACAGCTGTCAGTGTAGATATATTTTCATTACACTTCCTTCCCAGGGAGGGAGGGTGTCTTGTAGGAAAAGCTTTATCTTAAGTGCAAGGACAGTACACTTTAAGTATTTATGAAAAGAAAGGAGAAAGAAATGGTAAGCGGGAGCTCTGGCTAAGAACAAAAACCCCTAGGTGCCAGCTATGGGGACCCCTGGGTAGCAAGAATGCTGTGCTGTCCATGGGAGAGGCTGGACTTGGTGGGAAATGCCCAAATTTCTTGGTCTGCTAGGTTGGATTTGGAAGGAGTTGAACTGCTCTGTGTGTAATGGGGAAAGTCTTCTGTGTGATTGTTTTCCTTTCCCCTTCCTCTTCCAAACTCTGCACGGACAGACAGCCCATGGCTGGAACAGCCTGAGGTACAGCTACTGCTGCAGACAGTCATTAACGTGCTTCTGCCCCCTCGGATCATCAGCACATCCAGGAGCAAGAACTTCATGCTGGAGAGCTCCCCTGCCCACTGCTCCACCCCTGGGGATGCAGGGAAAGACCTGCGCAGGGAAGGGCTAGCTGAGTCCACCAGCCAGGCTGCCTACTTGGGTAGGTCTCTCTCTGTTTCTCTCTGTGTGTCTCTCTGTCTCTCTATCTTTCTCTCTCTCTCTCTCTCTCTCTCTCTTTCTCTCTCCCTCCCCCTGTTGAGGTATTTACCAAAACCCACTTTGAATCAGGAAGTGTTTAAAGAAGCCATTGGAACAAGAAACACCTTTTCAAGTCTGGTTTACTTCAGTACATGTCAAAAAACAAAGATTATTTTTATATGTGCAATACCTAAATTACTTGGCTGTTTTCATAAGATGTCTAGGGCATGTAAGGAAGGTGCCTGCAGGAAGGATTGCCTCTAGTTGATTGAGGGCAAGGTCACGCATGACGTTTGGTGGCTGCTATTTAGACACAGTATGCTTGGTGAAGCTCAACAGAACATCTGGCCTTACAGAGCCTCATTCCTCTACTAGTTGTTCTTCTTCCTTTATGATGTCATCCTTAAACGTCCACCTTGATCTCTGCTCAAGTGAAGACAGTCCCCTCCCGCCTAGAAGCTTGCCAGTTCCCTTCCTCCTTCCACACCTACTTTCTCATTACCCCATCTTTGCCCTGTAAGTGGTTGCTCTCCCATGGAATCATAGAGGGCCACTACTGATCCTGAATTAAGTGGACAGAGGAAAAGTCCACCCTTCAGTGGCACCAAGAATGAGTACTGATAATGGTAGATATCAAAAGTACAAAGTCTTGCCTGACTTTTTTTCCATTCACCAAAGTGGATGTTGGTGGAAGATACAAGATAATCACAAACTCAAAAAATCAAACAGGTCATTGGACTTCGGAATGTGGAAAAGGAATGTTTGGGCAGCATTCCAAGGGGATGTGTGTACAGATATTACTGACAGTGATCTGAAGAAAGAGAAAAAAATGAAACTGTGTGTGCAGAGAGCTACCCAGATGAGTGCTTGGTTACCTGAGGCATGAGAAAGTCAGGCTTAAATAAAATCCAGACTGGCAGAAAGCCAAATGTGAAGATGGGGATCAGAGAGGATGATGGAGAAAGGGGGCTCATCCTGTAAGACAGGAGATGAAAAACTTGAACAATTGTTTTTCATTTCATTGTACTTTCTGCCTTTTTAATGGTCTTATTTATGTTCATTTTTCTTCCTTGTTCAGTCCCACGTTTTAAAATATATATTTACATTTCAGCGTTTGACCTTGTACCAGGCAGTGTTTTCTGAACTTTACATTGTGAATTTTCACACCCTCACAAAATCACTGCACATGAATATACTCTCCTTTTGAGAGTGAAGACTTAGACTTCGGAAAGTAGATGCACAGTAAGGGAAAGAGGCACACCTCAAATCCAAGCCACCAGCACCTGTATTCTCAAACCCCTAGCTGTGTATGGTTTGTGTGTTGGGCTGATGAGGCAGAAGGGGAAAGCAGGACAGAAACAAAGAGCGAGTATTAGGAATGCCATTAGAATCAGAAGACACAGAAGAGGGATGCTTTGTGTTCTGTTTATTTGCATCATTCAGAGAGGGGAATTGAGATGAGAAGTTGCTGGGAAATTGAGTCTTTAGGGATGAGTCAGGACCTTAGGTCATCTGTACTAAGTGATATGTCTTCCATTGGAATCATCCCCTTGGGGACTTAAGCAAGTGGATTTCTAGGTGATTTTATGCACTTAAAAAGACATTTGTATTCCTCTAGTTAGAATCAAAACACATTTGCCATTTGAAGTTTCCAGTGCTTGGAGGGGTCTTAAGACGTGATCCGGAAGGCCAAGGTCCATTTGGCTGCCCCATAACACTCCCCATGTGGCATGCAAGACACCCAGAAGGGCAGAGCCATAATTGTTTTCCACTTTGTGTACTTCTGTATGCTTTTATTTTATTTTTAATAGCACAGATATTTCTATAATTAAACGAAGAAAAGAAAAACATTTTAACACATCAGTGGTTTAGCTGAGGGAGTGAGGGATATATTGACATTTCCATAAAGCCCTGTGACAAAGCTTTTGGACCATAAAATGTTAGTCACACATCATGTTTATCATTCCTTTTCCCATTCAGAGGGCCACTTTGCTCCTTTTTTTTTTTTCAAAATGGGAGTTCAGCATACTTAAGAAAACAATTATGTTCTAATCCACATCAAAATACTTTTGTGTCTGGAATGCTGGTTCAGGAGTACATGTTAAATTCATAGAAACATGGAGCTTAAGGACTTAGAAAATTGCCTCTGCACAGTAGCAGAAGGTCGAATTCCTCTGAAGCAAATGCCCTCAGACGCCTCTTTCTCTTACGAAGCCCTGAAGGTGATTCTCGTCTGCTTTGAGAGGCAGCTGGGAAGTCAATGGTACTGGCTGAGCCTGCAAGTCAAGGAGATGGCTCTGCGGAAGGTGGGCGGCCTGGCCCTGTGGGACTTCCTGGACTTTATCGTGCGCACTAGGATACCCATCTTCGTGCTCTTGCGCCCCTTCATCCAGTGCAAGGTGCAGTGTGTGCATGTGCTGCGGCGACAATGGGTGAACATGCAGGTTTTCGTTAAGGCAGGAGTTCTGGGGAGTGGGGAGGGTGGAGGAATGAACAGCTGTGGCCAGTTAGCAGGGATTGTTAATCCCACGCTTGATGAAGAAACAGCCCAAGTACATATCCAGAAGATATTTGAGGTTAGAAGTACCTGGTCAACTACTCTGTAAAACTTAGCCCCTTCCCTGTTCTTCAGCCCTGCTCCTTAAAAAAAAAAAAAAAAAAAAAAGAATTGGCCCAATGGAATGTTCTGGAGAATGTTCTGTTAGTAGCGTGCCTGAAATCTGCTATGAAATAAACATGAAAAGGTGTGTGTGTTGGGTGGGGACAGGGGGTTAAGGCTTTTTTCCTCCAAGAGCCCTAGTATTTGACCTTTTGCTCTGCTCATGCCCCAATTTCTTGGGGCGGAGATACAAGACAGTGAAGTCTTACTAGTGCCCATACATTGCCTTATTCATTTTCCTCCACTTCGAAGTAGGAAGGCATCATAATTAGTTTATTTTACAGATGGGAAATTGGGGTCCTGAGAACACAATGCCTTCCTTTTAGCTTCTGGCCCAGCCAGCAGAGAATCATGAAGAACTTTCTGCCCGACAACATATTGCTGACCAACTAGAACGGCGCTTCATACCTCGCCCTTTGTGTAAGAGCTCGCTCATTGCTGAGTTCAACAATGAACTGAAAATTCTGAAGGAAGCAGTTCACAGTGGATCAGGTAAGCATGCACGGTGCAGTTTGACAAATAGAATGCACAAATTACAAAGAATCCTCTGTCCAGGTCACTGCTCTTTGGGAGACCATGTAGGAGCTAGCCATCTGGGTACATCACTAAATCCAAACATCTGATCACGGCTAACCGCAAAACAAAAATCAGAGAGCTGTCATAGCAATTTAGCTTTATTCTTTTTCTAAAGTCTTTTCAATCTTCACTTTAGTAGTTAGGCTCTTAAATATTTAATTAGGAGGAAAAAAAGTTGTTTATGTTCTTTTAGTCCCTTTGTGCATCTATATCATAATTTCACAGGTATTCTTTCAATCCACACACACAGCATAATTAAAAGTCCACTTTAAAAAGGAGGAAATTGACACTCAGTAGATTAGATAGCTTAATAAACAAAGAAAGTGATGCTGCTGAGGCAATTTTATACCAGGTTTGTATTGTTGATTCTAAGTTCTCTTAGCTTTCCCCAAACTGGAATGCAGGGGCGCTGATAGAGTGGACAAGCTGGGAAATACTTATACTATTTAAAAGACTTTCCTTGAGATTGAAGTGTTTTCTGTTTTCAGATCTATTAAACCTGACTGCTGAGTAAGGAAATCAAATCAGTATTTTCAATTAGAGGGCAGTCATCACCCATAAGTAAAATATGTGGGTTTTGTTTTCTTTTAAAGTGTTTCCCATTTTTTGCAATGTGTTAAAGACAATATTGAAAAGTTCAGTCTTTGTATATTGAAATTCACATATTGCCATTCAGATATTCCTCTGAATATTTGATTCAGAACTGATGAAACAGCCTGGCATGGAGCTGAGGAGTTTCTCATCTGCCATCTAAGAAAGAGAACAGGAACAGCTTTGATCATGTACTCTGATTTTGGTTGTAATGGTCCTATCAAAGACAATAGTTTATTATTTCCAGAAGCTTATGTTAGGCAGCACATATACCTTAGTGAATCTACAACTTTGGAAGTGGCAATTCAGGTCAAAATTAGTTTGTTTCCTGCCAGCATAAACACTAAGAGAGGAAACAGTGTCAGAGCCTTTGGCATTATTAGGGATCTCATGCCTTCACAAGGAAGCTATTCACTATTCACCAGTGGCCAGTACTGATTTTTTTTTTTTCTTTTAGCTAGCCCCCAAAAGAAGAACTTTGGTCAGGGAGAACGTTGAAGCCAATATTTCTGTTTTTCAAGACTTCACCACACATTTCCTTTGGTTTCTTAATCCCCAGCTTACCAAGGGAAGACATCCATCAGCACTGTGGGCACATCCACCTCTGCTTACCGCCTAAGCCTGGCCACCATGTCTCGCTCCAACACAGGCACGGGCACTGTCTGGGAACAAGACAGCGAGCCATCCCAACAGGCTTCACAAGACACCCTCAGTCGGACTGATGAGGAAGATGAGGAAAGTAGGTCATGTGTCAGAATCTGGGTGGGCAACACAGGTTGGTCATGCAAGCAGGGTTTGGGAAGATGTCTGCCCTTCCAACCATTTCCAGTTCTGCCCCCTTGGTCATTCTTTAAAGAAAGAAGGGGATTCAAAATGGAGCTGACATTGTTAGACATTTCAGAATTCAGGCCAAAAGCAAATCTTTAGCGACCCCCCCCATTTTTTTTCTTGAGCTTCAGTTATGCAACTTTTTCTATGAAATCTCATTTAAATTGTAGATAAATAACTTATTCTTTCTTCTGGGCATCCTGACCAGAGGATTGACCAGGGCTCACATGGTCCCGTTTGGCAAGGAAAAGTGAACAAAGCATACATATGGGACTGGGAAAATACCAGCTGTCTGTGCCAGCCGGGATGACATTAGCAGGATGCTTTGAAGGGAAACAACTTAAATTTGAGTTCCGAAAATGCTCCTTGGTGCAGCTAGCCCAGGACTTCTAAAGCACATGGTAGAGATTTAGTGTTGTAAATGGGAACATATCAGATCAATAAATACTGCACATGTATGCTTAAGAGTAGTTTTAAAAAGCAAAAGTCTGGTATGTTTCCATTAAGTGTCATTGTCATTTAAGGGGATCCTTAAAGTGCATTGATTATTTTCCAATTGTGTTTTAAGATGCTCTTACATAATGTTTACTACAAAGTTGTACCTTTAAGGATGAGGATGAAATCTAGATCTCCACTCAGAGACTCTCTATACCAAATAACCACAAAAAGTCCCTATCTGAACTAAATAGATAGAGGAAATGCAAGTTGAGCTTAGAATTTTAATTAACTAAGATGAATGAAAGTATTTTAATGACTCCCTACACTTGGGTATATACGAGAAGAGAAGAAATAAGTGCAAAACACTTCAGCAATATTTCCAGATGTAGTTTGGGGGATAGTTACATAAAGTGCTAATGATATTTGTTATAAACACCCTAAAAAATGGGAATGCTAGTGAGTGTTCGTGGACATATGCCTAGAGTTGTAGTTAGTGACCTCTTAAAAATTATTGCCCAAGAAAGCACAATGTAAGAGACAGAAACAAGAAGTTTACCTTTTATTTCATGTATTTATTTTGACTTGAGACAGTCTCATGTGGTGCTGTCTGGCCTTGAACCCCTATATAGCTGAGGATGACCCTGAACTTCTGATCCTCCTGTGTCCGCCACCCCAGCATTGGGATCACAGGCATGATCATGCACCACCATGCTGGGTCCCAATGTTTTAATTTAAGAGGTTGCTCTTTTTTTTTATTTTTGATGGTGCCGGGGATTGGTGGTACTGGGATTAAACTCAGGGCCTCATGCATGCAAGATGTAAGGCAAATCTATATTCTGGACCCATGAACAAGAAGCTTGAAATAAGCAGTAATTCCTGATAACAGTTCAAAATTTAAAGGAGATTTCACTTTTCTTTAATACATGAAGCAGTCTCTCTCAGCATGTTTTAGTGATGGGAAATCATGCCACCATTGTTCCTAGAACTAAATTCATTTCACAGGTAACTTTAGGAGTCAGTACTTGACCCAGACAGTAGGAAGGAGTGAGGGAAGAAAAGTAGGGAAGGCAAGAGCCAAGAGCCAACACTCAGGTAGTGATGGGAGGGGATCAGAATGCATGCAGGTTTTGTTAATATCTCTCTCAGACATCAGGATCATCCTAATGAACACAAGGCTGCCAATAAATGGTGCATTGTGGCTGCAGTGTGGATGTGCACTGATTTATATGGGAAGGTGTATGAAAGCAAGATCACAAACTGTGTTGAATTAAGATGCTTTTCCCATCATAGAGCCATGTAAGACAACCTGTCAGGTGTAAGACAAGAAAGTATCAGAGGGACATATTCTCAATCTTCTAAGATAGTAGCTGTAATCTTGTAGAAAAGGTGATGTTTGTGGCATAAAACACTTAAAAGGTTTAATAGAAAACATCACATGGCTAATAAGCAAACAAATACTAGAGGAGTGTTAAAAGATAAGTTAATTAAAAAGGGAAAATTCAGTATAAATCTAGGAAAGGCATTTGTAGAAATAGCCCAATGCATTCTATCATATTTCCCATATTTTAACTCTTCTGTGAATGTACCTGAAAAGGGACAAGACTCAATTTCTAGTCAATCCTTGTATTACAAATTAAGATTTATAGCAGTTTTCCTATTCACAACCTTTACTTTAAATCGTTCAATTAGAAATAACATTTGGACAATCTAAATAAATTGTTATCAGATGATCTTATGTGGTAGCATACATTCACAAAACTCAATATATTTATTAAGTACATATAGTTTAATAACAAACAATGTTAGGTCTCTTAACATGAGGTCACCTTGACATAAATACTATGCTAAAAGTTAACTTTCATATGGATTCGAGTACATTAATTTCCACTTATTTCATTTTAAGATTTAGATTAAAATAGGAACTTATTTATGAATGTTAAAAATTTCAAATACTTTTCCTAAACTGAAAAAGTCTTTCTTACAGTAGGCTAGAAGTCATTAAGTGAACTGAATAGTTTTCTAATATCAAGGAAATGTACCTGGCTTATTCAATAATAAATTCCCTAATTAAACTATTCCTGGAATAGTCTTAGAATACATATATTTTAGCTTTTCCAAAATCTTTAATTTGCAAGTGCACATTGATCTATACTTACAAAAATAAAGAAGTTTCTTTCTATTTCATGAAGACTGATCTAATTGGTCCACCTGGGGTGTTAGTCTTTATCTGTACAAAGCTGCCTGTGATAATTTAGAGATAGCCCTGAGGTTGTACCTAAGCCAAGGATGGAACCCAAGCACAGCCTTGGTTAGAGTTTTCTAATCTATGTCATGCTTTTTGTAACTCCTGACCCCCTCCCACTTTCAGATGACTCTATAAGCATGCCCAGTGTGGTAAGTGAACAGGAAGCTTACCTTCTGAGCGCCATTGGAAGGAGGCGGTTCTCCAGCCATGTCTCCAGCATGTCTGCACCTCAGGCTGAGGTGGGCATGTTACCCAGTCAAAGGTAAAGGGCTATAACTGTCTCATACTCTGCACTTGGGGGCAATAGAAGAATTCTGAAAATACACTGACATTATTCTACAAAGACTGAAGAGAGAAGCAAGAAATGGTTATGTTTTTAAGTAGCTCATTCAACAACAGATCTTTCAAGTAGGTTTCTGGGGATAATAATTGTAGTTTTCTTAGCCAGCCTCCACAAAGAAATCCAAGCTTCACACTCAAGTATTGTCTCTTCTTAAAGTGTTTACAGATAGATGCATCATCTTTTTCTGCTAGCCAATGACATTCTTATATTTCAGATTTATCATCAGGCAAGATTAGTATTTGGCAAGAGAAGACCAGCTTGACTTGGTATTTTGGGAGTTTAGGCTTCTGAAATGTCATTAGTATTTTTCTGTACGTAGCAATGCTTAACCAAGCAGGAAAAGCACCTATGATACTGTGTGTGGACCTTGGATAGGTCACTTAAATATAGCTTACAGTTTCCCCCTCTATGGAATTAAGAGATTGGCTAGAATTATCTATAAGGAAAATTCTCTATCTAAAACTCTAAAAGTCAATGACTAAACCATTTAAAAATTTTTCTTTATATGTTGTCTGCCATATAACAGTGTAAGCTTCAAAATCCATTTGGGGGGATTTTAGGTTTTTAGAAGTTTTTAGACTTGTGGGAAAACAAGAATACATAAATTTTAAAATTCATACTTAAGTAGACACTCATTTTTATTTAAAAATTTTAAATAAAGGCATAATACAGAAATTGATCTGATGTAAGAGTTAAACTATTTGGGAGGTCTGGAGAGGTGGCTCAGCAGTTAAGAGCACAGGCTGTTCTTGCAGAAGACCCGAGTACAAATCCCAGTACCCACATGGTGGCTAACAACTGTTTGAAACTCCAGTTCCAGGGGCTCCAACACCATTTTCTGTCCTCAGGCACTGCATCACACAGGTGCATTTTACACACATGCAGGTATAACACTCATACACATAAAATAAAAATACATAAATCAAAAAAAATTTAAATAAAAGATTAAAAATAATAATAATCTATTCTTTAAATGACCATTTTTCATTTCAGAACTTAAATTCTTTCAAAGAATTAGTGTTACCTGATTTTTAGTGTGTTATTTTAGATTTTTGCAGTTCTGGAGGTCAACCCACAGCCTGTGTATGCTAGGCAAGAACACTACAACTGAGCTATATCTTCAGCCCCTGTTGATTATTCTTAATACCCAAAGATTCATTGTGGTATAATTCACACATAGAAAATAATCATATTCAGGGTATATATTAATATTCAAATAAAACTAGTTTATATAATACAGGATTAATCATCTTGTATCCAAACCTTTTAGTAAATAGTTCATGAACTATGTAGATGAAATGAAGTTTGTGAAATGTATCCAAAATTTGTAAAACATTAAAGAATAGAGGGAAAAATGATAAGATAATTAATATGTAAATTGAATACTTT